TTACTGCGAGTAACTGTGAGTTACTGCAGACATAAACTATTTAAGAGAAAAAGTGTGTTTTTTGTGCCTATTTTGGTCCCTTTGCCATATGAACTGACTTTCTTAAACAAAGACTCTTGATGCCTATTTAAATTTTAAATAAAATGAAGTTTCCTTTTGCTATTCATTTCACTTCTCCTGTGCCAGTAAACACCCCAAGTAATAATCAAAACTATCTCCTAATTGGAAGGATCTAATTTGTAATAAAATTTGTGGGAAAGTCTGTGCAAAGACAGTACAAAAAAAAAAAAACCTAATAAACCTTCGTAGAGAGATAATAAATCTAAAGATTTAAACAAACTTCATACAAAATGGGCCACAAAAATGCCATTAAACTTGCACTCTGACTGGTAAATTGGCATATGTCTAGTGAAAATGAGGACAGCAATTCTCATTACAAGTACAAATAAGAGAAATATGGGCCAGCATTTCCTGTTGTAACACTGGATGGTTTTTATTGTTCATTATTTATTCACAGTAAGCAAGGGATGGAGAGTAAACTTACCTCACCTTAGACCTCAGATCACTTAAAGTGTCAGGAAAGTGTTACGGTTCTCATTACAGGGAATAAAGAATTACAGATTATTTCCACTCCTAACACAGAGAAAGCTGAAGATCAGTAGTGAAGTGTATAAGGATAAAATTAAAAGTAGTTAAAACCCCATAATTTCTTTTGATGATGTTTAAGGTCAAGCCATTTAAATTAAAAAAAAAAAAAAACAACACCCCCACCTCTTGATTATTTCCAATCTATTTCACAGAAATCATTTTCCCTCCATGTCCCCTCTGAGTGTTTTAGGTGGGCTCCTGGTGCTGGACCTTACTTAGAAGAAATGACCCTAGGCCAAAAACAGAGGAATTTCTCAAAATAAATACACCCATATTTTTTGCCAGGGCACCAATCGTTCTGGCTCTTTCTCAGTCTGGTCATGTTTATAGAACTTTATAGAACATTTGATTTCAGACATGAGAAAATTTTAACAATCCATTTCTTAAATATCACAATTTTTTGATAGACCGTTATATTTAACCGAACTTTCTAAAGATTTTACATTGAAAAACTTACAGACAATCAAATCACTTCCTTAATTGTTAAAACTATATTTAGGCAAGGCTGATGCCTCATCCGAAATGTATTCCAATTTTGCCATCATTAACCATGAAGAGCAATGCACTATGGAGGATAGTACATGTACTCCTCACCTGTAGCATTTGCAACCCAGGACCAGAGATGACATAATAGAAAACACTAAGATCCATCAAAGGTACAGAGATTTTCCCATACACCCTCCGCTCCCACGTGATCAACAGCCCCCACTGGAGGGGTACACTTCTCGCAGCTGGTGAACTTGCGCTGATACATCACAATCACCCAAACCTTATGGTCTATAGTCTACCGTAGGGTTCACTCTTGATGGTGTACATTCTACAGGTCTGGACAAACGTACAATGACGTGTGCCCATCATGATGGTGTCAAGACAGAGCAGTTTCACATCACTAGAAATCCCCCCATGCTCCACCTATTCATCCTAGCAACCTTCATTTTTTTATTGTCTCCATAGTTTGGCTTTTCCCATAATGTCCCACAGTTGGACCATACCGTACACAGCCGTCTCAGGTTGGCTTCCTTCACTAAGTGACATGCACTTAAGTTTCCTCCATGACTTTTCCTGGGTTGATAGTTCATTTCTTTTTAGTGCTAAATAATATTCCAATAACTGTAGGTACAGTTTATTTGTCCAGTCACCTACTGAAGGATATCTCAGCTGCTTCCAAGTTTTGGCAATTATAAATAAAGCTGCTGTAAACATCCATATGCAGGCTTTTATCTGGACATAACTCTCTTTAACTCCTTTGGAGAAATACCAAGGGGTGCCATTGCTGGATGGTATGGCAAGAGTAGGCTTAGTTTTATAATAATCATCAAACTGTCTTCCATTTTACATTCCCATTGGCAATAAATGAGAGTTCCTGCTTCTCCACAACCTCAGCAAAATGTAGTGTTGCCACTGCTCTGGATTTGGCGCATTCTGATTGGTGTGTTGTGATAGCTCATTGTTGTTGTAATTTTCATTTCCCTGACAATTGTTGTGAAGCATCTTTTCATATGTTTATTCGCCATTTGTGTATCTTCTTTGGTGAGGTATTTGCTAAGGTCTCTGGTGGGTTTTTTAATCAGATTGTTTGTTTTCTCATTGTTGAGTTTTAAGAGTCCTTTCTATACTTTGGGTAACAGCCCTTCATCAGACATGCTCACTCTAATAAATTGCCTTCATTGCTGATCCAGTAGTTCTGTGGATGAAACTTGGCAGGCCAATGTGTTGGCTTCCAACAAGGATAAAACCTCACACCTCAGGGTTCTTGACAACAGTTATGTAAAATTTGCAGTACCTCTAACCAACCAAATCTTTAGATACAAATACAGATAGATATAGATATAGATATAGATATAGATATAGATATAGATAACATTACACATAGATAAATATAGAGATATATGTATAGATATAGATTATATATAAAGAGATAGAGATAGAGATAAAGATAGAGAGTTTATACTCATCAACATAAACACTACTATGCACCAAAAGACATACACAAAAATGTTGATGGCAGCTATATTGTAAATATTCCAAACTGTAAACAATCAAAATATCCACCAACATAGAATAAATAAGCTGTGGTATATTCATACAATGAAATACCACACAACAAGGAAAATAAATAAACTACTGATACCTATAAGAATATGGATGTATCTAGGGGCAGCTGGGTGGCTCGGTCAGTTAAGCATCAAACATCAGCTCAGGTCATGATCTCACGGTTCATGAGTTCAAACCCTGCATCGAGCCCCACGTCGGGCTCCACACTGGCAGTGCGGAGCCTGCTTGGGATTCTCTCCCTCTCCCCCTTTCTCTGCACCTCCCCTGCTCGCTCGCTGTCTCTCTCTCTCTCAAAATAAATAAACTTTTAAAAAAAATAATAAGGATGTATCTCACAAACATAAGATGAGGAAAAGAAATCTTACACAGAAGAGAACATATTCTATGATTCCAATGACATAAAATTCAAAATAAGGGGAAATTAATGTGACAATAACAATCTGAATAGTGATTGCTATCGGTGGGGTGCAATGACTGGGACAGAGTAAAAGAACCTTCTAGAGAAGTGGAAAATATCTGTATTTTACCTGAGTGGAGGGTGCATGAGTAAAATGTAAAATGTCATATAACTGTAGAGTTTAGATTTGTGTACTTAATGTTCATTAGAACTCAAAGTTTAAAAAATCTAAAATGGACAATGAAAGGAGGAAAATGTCAAGAATCTCCTTGATTCCCTTTCTTGTCTGTCAACAGTTTACAAGTCTGATGACCTCCCGTTGACGAGCTGTGAGGAAAGACATGGTGTCACGTATTCTGCCAACAGACAGAGGAACCCAGTGGCTACGAAGGCTGATTGGCGACGTCTATCACAATTACAGATGCACGTGCGGGCACCCTTTCACCCAGACATCCCACTTCAGGGATGCGAAAGGATGTGTGTATAATGTCATTCACTGCTGCTCAGTCGGCAATAACTAGAAAAGGCCTGGGACGTCCCAATGTCCATCCATAGGTCACTGGTGAAGCACACTCTGAGAGCTCCACACAACAGAACCCTACTCAGATGGAAGAGAGATAAAACCCTCCCTGCTCACTCACACAGAAGGGGCTCTAGGAAAAATGGCGAACTGAGATAAGCGAGGTTTAAGCCTGATATGGAAACATGTCATTCGTATTTAAGAAAGGGAAAATAAGAATCTCTTTTCCTATTTATTTGCATGGAGAAACCCAGAACAATGCAGGATGAGGAGGAGAGGGTGCGTGGGGTAAAGCTAGGAACAAAATCACTCAGTATGTATTTTGTAACATTATTCTGGTCTTCGAACCAAAAGAATGTGTTACCTATTCAGAAAACTAAGTTAAATTATTTAAATGGTGCTGGCTCACATGGCTACATGTGTTAAAAATCAAAAGAAATTATGGGGCACCTGGGTGGCTCAGCTGGTTAAGCGTCTGACTTTGGCTCAGGTCATGATCTCATGGTTCGTGAGTTCAAGCCCAGCGTCAGGCTCTGTGCTAACAGCTCAGAGCCTGGACCCTGCTTTGGATTCTGTGTCTCCCTCTCTCTCTGCCCCTTCCCTGCTCTCTCTCTCTCTCTCTCTCTCTCAAAAATAAACATTTTTTAAAAACATTTAAAAAAAATAATAAAAACAAAAATAAATTAGATCCCTATCACATACCATACTGAAAAGATAAGAAAAGAAAGCAAACGTCAGAGTTTAGAAGAAAACATAGGAGAACATTTTTATAATATAAGAGCTAGGAAGGATTTCTTTAAAATATATAGAGACAAGTCAAACATGAAGGACAATACTGCATTAAATTTGAGACACATACAGAAAAAAAGGCACTATAAATAAATTGAAAAGAAACCCACAGATTGTGAGATGATATTTGCAATGCGAATAAACCACCAAGTATTTTTATAGAGCATTCATAAACAGCCCCTTCAAACCAATAAGGGACAAACAACCCAAGAGCAAAACAGGCACAAATATGAACAAGGAACCTAGAAGGGAAGAAACTTGAATGACCAATAAGCATACGGGGAGGAGAAAGACACAAGTGTAATAATGGGGGAAATGCAAGATGAAAATGAGATACATAAGACACCTGTCAGATATGTAAAATTTTTAAATATGATAACTAGAAATGTTGATTAGGATGTGGGAAATGGAATTATACTTTATAAAATGATACCAACAGTTTTGGCCACTTGATAGATCCAGCAACGTTGCAGTTGCCCTTAACCTCTGGTCCAATGGTTCTACTTCTATGGGTCTTATCTAGAGGAACTCTCACCCATGCGCATGAGAGACCCCTCCCTCCAAAATAAACACAACTTAACTATAACTCAGTAGGGGGATGGATAAATAAACCATTTATTCATTCAGTGGAACACTATACAACAGTTATGTTGTATAACTAAACCTACAAGGGTCAACATGGATTAATCCTAAAGACATTTTGGGATCAGAAAAGAAAAGTCAAGTTGCAAAGCAATATGTACAATATGATGTCATTTGTGTGAAAATTTTGCACTCAGGTTTACACGAAATCTACATGGGTACATAAATATGTGATAAATATAGCAATGTGGAAGTAGGCTTAAAACCAATCAACTTAAAAATAGTAGCCACTTTTGGAGGAAAGCAAGCTAATGAGATCTGGTCACCCATTCAATAAGTGCGTATTAAGGATGTACTCTGTGCCAGACACATAGGTATGAGGGATGCTGTGAAGAACAAGACAAATTTACGAAGTTTATATTCCGAGTCCAGGGATGTGAGAGAGACAAACCAATGAATATGTAATGATCTCAGTTGTTTATAAACACAATGGGAAAAATGGAGCAGAAGGAGAGAATGCAGTGGACTGATGCAGGGAATCTGTGTGGGAATATCTCCCAGAGGACATGCCCTTGAGTGGGGATCTGAGGGAAGGAAGGGAAGGAGCCAGTGAAGATCTGGGGAACAAGCTCTCCGGAAAGAAGAGCCCAGAGCAGGAATGAGCTTGACGTGCTCAAGGAGCAGCAGACAGGCCAGAGCTGGAGGGAGGCAAGAGGCCAGACAGACCAATAGCCCAGATGGTGTTGGCCCCTGGTAGCCACCATGACAAATGTGGATCATTTCTGAACACGATATGAGGAGTGTCTCAGTCCGTTCAGGCTACTATAATAGAATACCACAGACTCGGCGTCTTATAAACAACAGACATTTGTTTCTCACAGTTCTGGAGGCCGGAAGTCCAAGATCAAGGTGCAAGCAGATTCAGGGTCTGGTGAGAACCCACTTTCCAGATGGCCATCTTCTCGATGTGTCCTCACGTGGGGGAAGGAGCTAGGGAGCTCCGTGGGTTCTCTCATTAGGGCCCTAATCCCATTAGTGAAGGCTCTGCCCTCGTGCCTTCGAGCCTGGGCTCGAAGCCTGGCCTCGAGCCTGGCCTCGTGCCTGGGCTCTGCCCAGGCCTTTCCCAAAGGCCCTGCCTCCTACTACCTCGCTCTGGGGATTAGGTTTTAACAGGAATTTTAGGGACACAAATGTTTCAGTCCACAGCTGGCAGTGACTGGATATAACTTGCTCTTTAGGAATCACTGGGTTGTGGTGTGACAGACTGACTGTAGAAGATGGGGGGAAACAGGGGGACCATCTGGGAGATGATCACCAAAGCCTGGGAGGGAGATGATGATACAGGGAGACTGTGTATTTGGGAGAAATCGTGGATCAATTGATGCACTGCAGGGGTGCGGCATGAAGGAAAGACGGGAGTCAGGGAAAGATCCTTCATGCTAAGCAGGTGGGGGAATGTGAACACCTTTTACTGACAGGGAGGAGTCTGAGGCATGAACATATTTGGTGGGAAATCAGAAGTTTTGTTTTGTGAAGTTGATCTGGGGTGGATGGTATACTCTCAACCTAACCTGAAACATCTCATTTCTTAATTTAAAAGTTGTAGGGCAAATACTGCAGAATATTCACATGTGTTAAAAATCTCAGCACTGGGTACATGGGCATCAATAACCCAGAGTATGTTCAAAATGTTTCATTTGTAACAAAAGGAATAGTCGGGCTCACAGTGGAGCAGTGCTTTCTGGGTAGGGCCAGCTGATTTATCTGCACTACAGAAAGGTGCATGAACCATAATGCCGTTTCCATCCAAAAACTAAGAAGAGAAGAAAGTGGGAAGAGCAGAGAGGAGAGGAAGTAGAGAATGTGGCTGCTTTATCTGGTTCAGTTAGAAGTTACAAGGAAAGCGCGTGAAAGCTGGCAGGCAAGGCTTCATCACAGAGTCTCCCTGAGCCCAGGGTCTGAAATCACACCATCCAGCCCCACGCTCATGATCCCTGAAGACCCGTCTGTAAAACCACATTTCATACTCACAGAAGGCTGCGTAACACACGTGGTGTTTCATGTGCCTCACATGCCTGGGTTTCCAGCTCAGTCCTTGGGCAAGATGTCTGACCCTCTGCATGGCTCTGTCTTCTCATCTGGAGACAGACCCGAGGGGCTACCATGAGCATGTGTGTGGCCAAAGTCCCTCACAGAGGAAGCAGTCAGAGAATGTTGGCTGTAGGAACTGTTACCATGGGTGCTGCTGCACTCACTGTGTCCCTCCTGAATCCAACGTCAGATCAACAAAATAGGACAACTATGAGACGATCGGACCTAAGCATGCCACAGAGGACCCTTGAGAAAACAGGTCATGTGGGATTATATCATGACATTTTTTACACAGACAGGGTCCTGAACTTGATTCTTGCTCTGTCTCTGTCTACTCTGTGACCTTGAACAATCACTAAAATATTCCCAGTACCAGCTGCTCAATCCAAACATGAAGATAGGATCTGCCGTATCTCTTCTCGGGGCTTTGGGGACCAGGAGGTAAGGGATATTAAAGCATTTAAAGAGCAAGCCAGAAAGTATGACTGCCTACCCGGTCAGAGTGTGCGTTTTTGCAAAGGAACGTGGACAGGTGTGCCCAGAAGTGCCCCGAGCACATTGACAGCCAGGTCCAATTCTTGCCTTTCCCACACAAAGCCCAACATGGCTTCGAAATGCCCTGAACTTCTCCTCTCTCCACAGGCAGCATTTTATTCTCTCTCTGCGATAGAAACAGGCAATTCCCCATATCAGTGCCAATGTGAGAAGGAACCTGCAGTCATCTGCATGATATGCCGTGAGCCAAAACTTCATAAATATGAGATTTGGGGTAAATTATTAAATATTTCCAAAGTCTGTTTTTTTAATCCATAAAGGGGGAAAAGTGAAGCTTCATGTATAGAACAGTTGGAAGCAGTAAATGTAATCATTTGGGTGGAATGTCTCATGTTGTGTTTAACACGTAGCAAGTTCACAAAAAATGTGTCCTCCTGTCTCCTGAAAGTCCACGATGCTATAGTCTCTCAACATATCCTGTAACGAGGGATTACTCTTTTCTTTAGGTCAGGGAACACACCTCTGAGAATGCCTTCTTAAAACCAAAATGAAATACCAACACAGACCTACCGGAATTGCTGAAACTGAAGAGAATGGTAACGTCAAGTACTGACAAGGACACAAAGCAATTGTAACGTTGGTAAGGGTAAATGGAGTGGAACTGTGGAGAGATGATGCTCGAGAGATGTAGAAGCCAATCAGCCTCGCCGTCTTAGCTTTCAACCTGTTCATCACATTACTATCTAGCACTTTCAGTGGCCGGGAGCCAAACCTGAAGGGAATGAGGTTTGATGCTTTTGCAGGAGGGGAAACACGTTCCTTTAGATTGAGCAAGAAAGGTTCAGATGAGTGAAGGGTAGAAAACCTTCAAGGTATTCTGGGTACCAAAGACAAGATCCAGCAGGTGGGAGAAATATGAAGACAGGCACAGGCATCAAAAGGGAGGGGATGAAAGTCAAGCAGGAAGGTATCCCACACGAACCTGACAGCCCAAGATGATCTATGAAGCATCCCTCAATCATGAGGATAAGAAAATCACGAAGTACACATTCTTATGTTAAAAGCATTTTTTGTGCACAACATAGAAAATAAATGGCAACCTGAGGAGTTTAACTTCCATATGCACAGTGCCTTACAGCTTAAAAAGTGAACGTGTTGTGTACATGAATTTCTGAATGCTCTGAATAGTGGTTATTATTTCAGTTTTATAGATGAGGAAACTGGAGCCTCCATGGCCTCGGTTACCCAGGATCAGGGAGCTAGTGAGTGGCAGAAATAAACTTAAGAAGCCCTCCCATTCTAAGCCAGAGTTTCTTTCTTCTGTGCCAGCGGTTCTCAACCAGAGGATGACATTGCATAGCAGGGGCCACTGGCAATGTCTGAAGACATCTGTGATTGTCAACTCGGAGGGGGTAGTGAGTGATGCTATCGTCATCTGGTGCGTAGAGACCAGGGATGCTGTTAAACACTGACGGTGTATAACAACAGCCTCTATAACAAAGAATTACCCATCCCAAATATCAATAAAGCCAGGTTTGAGAAACCTGGCTTTATACCACATCTAGCTTCCCAAGTATATATTGCAAAACTAGTATTTTAAACAGCTTTTTCTCCAATTTAAAGATGAAATAACAGAAGCATAACAAAAATATATGAATTTTGCCTCTTCTTTCCTTTATTATTGGTTTTACCACCACTCAGGACAAATGCTAATCTCTGTTTTCTTTTACTTTCAAGTCACAGCTAGTAGCTGCAGTGTGGTTGGACACACTACCATGAACTGTGAGTCTGTCCATTGATCAAGATAACATTAGGTCATTCTGTGGAAACAAAACAAATAAACCAAAACTAAAGAGGAAAACAAAGATGAATTTCTCATTAACATTACATGTCCAAAAAGTGTGGGTGGGGTCACTGCTCCACAAATACTCAGGGACACAGGACACCAGTGGCTTCACCATCTGGGAACTACGCCACCTCTAGCACATGGACCCCTCAACTGCATGACAGGAGAGAGCTTGAAGGCTGCATGCCAGTAATTAAAGACTTCACTGCCCACCATCTAGAACGAAGCACATACCAAGAGAGTATGGGGAGGCTGGAAGTAAATATAGGAGGTGCTCTGAATAAAAGGTGCCCCTCTCTTCCATGGAGGATACCCTGCACTCACTCTGTAGAAAGCGATGGGCTTAACTGAGAGCCAAGAGTGACACAATGAAAGCAAGTTCTCTCTGGGCAGGGGTGAGATAACTCGGTTCTCGGAGACATAGAATGAACTGTTGTCCCTTGTATGTTTATGGCTTGGCCATATGACCATTTAGCAATGCCTTGCACTTCACAAAAGTCAATAGTTATGCAGTCAATTCAATGTCATTGCACGCCCTATTTGTACAAGGTAGTATATGCTTCATAGGATTGTATAAGGAATATGGGGTTTCCAGAAAGTACACGAAGGAACTGGAAGTTTGCAACTGCACACAAGTGTGATGATGTGGTTTTAGAATATGTGAATAATTGCAGCGGGTAATTTAATAGGAGGTGGGCATTTCTAGAAGGACTTTAAGCACAGGAATGCTAGAAGAGGACAAGGACTGCAAACAGACTTCTCAAATGCAATTCAAATGATGTAATGGATGCCCAGAGCCTTGTGTTAAGCAGGACTCTGAGGCTGTGAGACCAGCACGTACCTGGAATGAAAGTCCAGGTTAAGAGCATTGTGCTCCAGGCTGCCAGGTCTGTCCAAGACTTCTGACACCAGCCACTGGTACTCAGATGTCCATGGACACACCCTCCCTTCAGATCACCTAGCTACAAATTCACGGATGCCCATGGACTCTCTCAGATTTGAAAATTTGCTAGAATGACTCACAGAACTCAGGAAAAACACCATGCTACAATCACAGGGGCTTTCTATAGCAAAGGGATAATAATCAGTGCCTGCTAAAGGAAGAGACACTACTACAGACTGAATGTCTGTGTCTCCCAAATTCGTATAACACTTAACCCCTAGTGAAACGATATTAGGAGGAGGGCTTTGGGGAGCTGATAAGATCATGAGGGTGGCACTCTCATGAATGGGATTAGTGCTCTTATAAAAAGGCCCCAGAGAGTTCCCTCACCCTTTCCACCATGTAAGGACATGTAGAACATCCATGGTCCGGAAGCTCTCCCTACATACCATATCTGCCAGTGTCATGATCTTGGATTTCCCAGCCTCCAGAACTGTGAGAAATGAATTTATGTTGTTACGAGCCACCCAGTTTGTGGTAGTTTTGCCACAGCAGCCCAAATGGACTAAGACACATAGGGTGGAATCAGGGAATAGGAAGGTTCCATGCCCTCCGGGACACCTTCTCAGTGTCTATCTACGGAAATATGCAGACAGAGCATTAACACCTCGGGGCCCCTGAGCTCGGTGTCCATAGTCTGTTTGGGGTTTCATTACACAGGCATGACTGATTGAACCATGTCCCATGTGGCTGTCCAAAGTGCCACCCCTCACATCACATGGTTGATCTTTCTGGTTTGGCCAGCTCCTCACCCTGAGTCATCTTAGCATGAGCTATCAGATCTGGTCAAGCAGCCCACCACAAATCACGAAGAGGTGCCAATCCCTGGGATAATTCCACGGATTTAGAGGTTACCTCCCAGGAGCCAGGGACAAAGGCCAGACAGCCCTTTGGGTAAAGCCAATTCTTCACTCACCAGTAGGAAATACGAAGAATGTTAGTAATGATTTTATTATTAATGACTTCACACATAATTTCATAAATATTTCATTGTCAGGGATTCTGTTTATTAAGAGCAAATAATGGGCCAGGTCCTGTGCTAAATATTTTATACAATTATTTCATTCACTCTTCCTAAAAACTTTTGAGATGGGTAATATTTGCAGATGAGGACTCTTTGTTTTATGAGGTAACTTACCCATGTATTGTTAGAGGAGAAGCTGTTGAAGACACAGGCCTAACTCCAGAACACGTGCCCTTAACCAGTCTGCTGTGCTGCTGTGACCAATGAGCACTGTCCACCTCGGGCAGAGGAGCGGCACAAAGGGTGCACAGCTACTGTTACTAGGGCAGGTTTCTAGAAGGCAAGAAGTGGATGTGTGAAGCTCAGCTCCTGGGTCCACACCAGCTCCTCTACAGGTCATGTTTACCATCAACTCTGCACAGTCTCTCCCCAACCCCACAGCATCTCAGGGGACAGCACAAGCCCTGTACCCACCAGCCAGCAGACTTTGGACCTGACCACAGCTGGGAACAATGGCTCTGCATCCCTGAACTGTGTCGTACATGGAAGTCACTTGGGGGCCCCTTTGTCCTCCATGCACATGGTCTGTTTATGTGTCTCTGAAACCCTAGTCAGTAGGCTGGAGTCTGATTTTCGGACTCATTCCCACGTCCTCATCTTGTGAGTTCCATTTATTCTTTTCCTTTAATTCAAGGAATGCCCTGACTGGACCCACTGTAACAAGGGACTTCCACACTTCAGGAAGATTTTCCTCTACCCCAGAAGCGTTGCTCTGACCCTACTGCCAGGCTCAGCCACCACACTGCTCACTGCCTCCCACTAAGCCGAATCCTCTGATGCCACTTGGACTTGATTTCTGTCCCTCCCCATGGCTACAGTCTGCAGCCCTGTTGGCTGTGCACTCCTGACTGGCTTTCTCCTGCAGCTTCCCCTTCCCTTGCTTGGTCTCTGCCCCGTATCTGCAGCCCTAGCCTTCGGCTTGCTCTTAGTCTCTGACCATGCCAGCAGTTTTACCCCTTTGGGACAGGAGGTGGGCAAGAAGAAATTAAAAGATGCAAACGCTTCAAAATTAGCTCCCAGTTTGTGCAAGATGCTGGAAAATCACTCCAACTATAATTTGATTGATGCTGGCCAAAGAACAAAAAGGTTTCCTTAGACTTTCTAACATGCCTGAGGTCTCCTAGGTCTGTGGGAGATTATGCATATCAGCTGGGCCCTCACCCTGTACAACTCCTCCTTCCTCACCTACTTACCTACCTTTGAACATGTGAGAGCCTACTAGGAGAGCAGGCTTTCCAAAGACACACTCAGAACTGAAGGTTTAATTCAGCAAAGAGATAAAAAATCGTATCACAGAACATGGGAAAGAAAAAGAATGCTACTATTCTGGCATTTTGCTCTAATGAAATAATCTCCATCTGTACAGGGAGGCATGTTGGAGCAGGGAAGCTAAGGGTGGGCTCTATAAGGCCAAGGATTTCTTCTGTGTTCCCACACTTGTTCCAGATGGCTACCCACGTAGTCAGGGAAGAGTTTGAGAAACCAGCTCAGGCCACATTTGCCATCAGCTTTGGCCCTCAGAATTTTCTAGAGGTTGTCATTAAACACTCTAAGCATTCTGCCTAAAGGTTGAAGCACTTCTAAGAATCCCTCCTGGTTCAAGCAGCTATTTCAAATCTCCTAAAAGCAGCAAATTTGGCAACACTGGAAAGCAGCTTCAGGTTAATTTTTTACTTTGGACAGATGCATCAAAAATTAATCCAGAATGGCACTTATCTGTTGTTCCTTGGACACTAGTGGTCAAATGTGCCTAAGTTGGGGTTGGGACCCCACCAAAGGGAAGAGGTCCCGATGACCACTAGCCACAGTGATCCTTGAAAGAAAGCTATTTGTAGTCCAAAATCAAAAGCCTATCTTTCCCATCCTATTTTCAAATTATGAGAAGCATTTTGAAAGTTGTACTTTCCTCAAACCCAGGCACAGCCACTTAGCAAATTGTGTTTTTGCTGCATCCTGTCCATGGGCTTCCACATTCCTCAGGATTCCTGATTATGCAAAACTCTGACTCAGTCATTCTTTCTCAGGATGTTGTCAGAGTTTCTTGGAAACAGTCATTTCCTGACTAACTAATGTAAGAATAAAATTTGGCGAAGGTAAAACATGGCAGGGAAGCCACTGGAAATGTGTCTGCAATAAATTCACAGCCCTGTTCCGATCTGGGCAAGACCTATTCCAGTGAGGGTTCTCAGCATTTTCTGTATCCCAGATAATGTATATAATGAGATTGCTTTACCTTTGAAGCTATTGGAAGAGTGACAAATGTCATGATAGGGGTCTGGTCTACAATGTCCCCTTGGGTTAGAGGAAAGATTTCCATGAATGCCACTTTTAGTAGAAAGCTGCAAAGAACAGTAAAGGGAGCTTTGGATTCAAAACTAGGGTTCTGAGCACCAGAATTAGGCCTCTGAACTAGAGGGGGGTGGTGGCCTGGCAAAGACAGTGGGGAAGGGCGAGACAGAAGACACAGCCCCACTTGTGGACGGCAGTTCCTCGTTAGGAAGGCATGGGTCTGAGTCTGTCTCACACACGCACCCCTTGCACACCTCACACACCTGCTTTGCACACAGCTCTGGGGAACTCGCCCCAGGCTCCCGGTCGGGGCAGGGGATGCCGTATACCCGATGGTGCCAGGCTCCTTTGTAGGAACAGGAAAACGAACTCAGTGAGCAGCTGGGGGGAACCAGAAGGAAGAGCTGGGCCATTCAAAACTTGCCCCTTTATTCACAGTGGATCCTGGGGAGAAGCAATTGCCTGCATGTCAGCCTCAGAGATTGGCGGGTTGGAAGTCAGACAAGAGCTGGAACAGTCATGGTGCCAGATGTGTAGTTCAAGCCCTTCCAGGGACAAGCTGGAGGCACAGGGTTTTTCCCTGGAGTGAGCCGGAGGAGGAGGAGCCATGTGGAGTGTTGACATCATCGGGGGTATCTGAGGTCCTTCTTCTTGAGGGAAGATTTCTCTCCAATGGCTGAGGCAGCAGCAATGGTAAGAAGAGGACAAACTAAATGGGCACACAGCATGGCCACGAAGGAAGAGCGCGGCCACGAAGGAAGAGCACTACCATGGTAGTGGGAAAGCCTCCGGGACCAAAGCAGAACTCACCTCCTGGGACACACGTGCTGGGAGAAGAGGCGACAGGAGGGTCCAGGAATCCCACTGAAGGACTGCCACTGTCCTTTCTCCATCACAGGCCTTACCTTGGGGGTAGCGGTCACCAAGGACACAGAGAGCAAAACTAGGATCCGACAGACTCCACACAAGAGCTTTCTTGTGGTAGGACTCATGGTACCTCTTTTGTTTCTTTTTCCATGGGAGGAAAGGGATACATTTAAAAACTGCTATTTTGGGGTGCCTGGGTGGCTCAGTCAGTTAGGCGTCTGACCTTGGTTCAGGTCATGATCTCATGGTTCGTGGGTTCAAGCGCCACTTTGGGCTCTGTGCCAACAGTTCAGAGCCTGGATCATTCTTCAGATTCTGTATCTTCCCCTCTCTCTCTGCCCCTGCTCTGTTGGCACTGTGTCTCTCTCCCTCTCTCCCTCTCTCTAAAATAAAAATTAAAAAAAAAAAACCTTTTAAAATATTTAAAAACTGCTATTTTAATTTATTATTTTATTTCCAATTGACACTTTTCTTCATAAGCATCTATGGTGGATTGAATTCTGCCTCCAAAAATGATATGTCCAAGTTCAAACCCAGGGAACCTGTGAATGTGATTTTGTTTGAAAAAGGATCTTCATAGATATGATCAAGTTACAATGCAGTCCTAGTAGGTGAGGGTGGGCCCCAATGCAATGACTGTTTCCTCCTTCAGGGAGCAGCTCGGCACAGAGACACAGAGAGAGAAGGCCATGTGAAGACAGAGACAGATTGGGTGGAGGGTCTACGAGACAGGGCAGGCCAAGGGTGGCCGGCAACCCCAGAAGCTAAGAGAGGCCTGAAACAGGTTCTCCAGAAGGAAGCAAACCGGCTGGCACTTTAATTTCCGTCCGCAGCCCCCAGAGCTGTGAGAGAATACATTTCTGTTGTCTTAAGCCACTCAGTTTGTGATCATTTGTCACGGCAGCCCCAGCAAACTAATAAACAGCTTTTAAATTTTTCTCAAAACTCATAAATTAAGTCAATCAGGTGAATTTAGTGCACACACTTGTTACCCACCATTTTATCAATTATTTTACTTCTGTCCTCTGTAATTCCTGTCTCTGACCCAGCTGTCACTATAGCCTTGGACATGGTGCTTCTGGGGACAAGGGCAGCTGAGCCCCAGAGCAGCAAGGACGAGGACAGATGAGGCAGGAGGAGGAACAGGGATGGTTTCATGCAGACCTTCGACATGCTGCTCCCAGCAATGGTGTCCTTTCCTGCCCTTCCCTTCTCTTTCTCTTCTATTCTTTCTCCCTCCCTGTCTCCTTGTCTCTCTCTCTCTGTCTCTCTGTTTCTCTATCTCTCCCTCCCTTATCTCTCTGTCTCCCCCCTTTCTGTGTCTGTCTCTATCTCTCTGCCCCCCTCTGTCCCTCTGTCTCTGTCTGTCTCTCCTGGCACCATGCTGCAGGGGCATGAACATAGTAGGATCGACCCCAGCCCTGAAGCAGCTTATCCTAAGCAATACTTTTGTCTGCCAGACTGGAAGTGGGGCATTAAAAAAGAGTCATTCTGGGGGCGCCTGGGTGGCTCAGTCGGTTAAGCGGCCGACTTCGGCTCAGGTCATGATCTCACGGTCCGTGAGTTCGAGCCCCGCGTCGGGCTCTGTGCTGACCGCTCAGAGCCTGGAGCCTGTTTCAGATTCTGTGTCTCCCTCTCTCTGACCCTCCCCCATTCATGCTCTGTCTCTCTCTGTCTCAAAAATAAATAAACGTTAAAAAAAAATTTTTTTTAAAGTCATTCTGGGGTTCCTAGGTGACTCAGTCAGTTAAGAGTCTGACTCTTGGTTTTATAGCTCAGGTCATAATCTCACGGTTCCATGAGTTCGAGCCCCATGTTGGGCTCTGTATTGACAGAGTGGAGCCTGCTTGGGATTCTCTCTCTCTCTCTCTCTCTCTCTCTCTCTCTCTCTCAAAATAAATAAATAAACTTAAAAAAGAATAAAAGTCATTCTGTCTTTGTTTCCAAAACAGAAGAGAAAGCAGCTACAGTAAAGTCCTTTTATCAACATGAAATAGATGCCAATTGCTTTTTTATTTAAAAACATTTATTTATTTTTGAGAGGCAGAGAGAGACAGAGTGCAAGTGGGAGAGGGACAGAGAGAGAGGAAGGCACAGAATCCGAAGCAGGCTCCAGGCTCTGAGCTGTCAGCACAGAGCCTGGCACAGGGCTTGAACCCATGAACTGTGAGATCATGACCCGAGCCAAAGTCTGAAGCTCAACCAACTGAGCCATCCAGGTGCCCCATGCTGTCTTTTACTTAAGATACCTTCTTTTTAAAAGAAGGCAGGTTAGGAAATATTCAGATCAGTAATAGGAGAAACATGGATCAATAAAAAAGTTCTTGAAGGCAGTGGTAAGCGTGGCTGCTGTGGCACTGTGGGCCACTGGTGCCTATCAAGTGTTTACTTGGAGTAGTTTACTGGGCACAGGGCCCAGAGGGAGGAGAGATTCCAAACAGATCAGGAAATAGTTGACGCTTACAAGAAAGTCATCACTAATAGAGAAGGAATATTTCCATCAAATTAAGCTTTTCTGAACTTGAGATGTCCTTGGGGACACAACAGACAAATGAAAAAGGTAACACATGAGAATACTCACAGGAGAAAACCAAAAATAAGTGCAAATCAATACGTACGAACCCTTGCTGATTTGGGTTAACTGAAAGGCCAATATTAATTAGTGAAAGGTCTGAAATATAGAACCTTACCTAAAAATATCTGTTCATTACTTGAAAGTTCCCTTGGAAGCACACACCAGCCTGCACCTGCCAATAACAGAGATTGGAAACCAGTCTACGGAGTGATTTCGCAGGATCTAGAAGTTTCGCCGAATCTGGGTTCTAGAACAGTCAAACAGTGCATGGACAGAGTGTGGTGTATCCACAGCAAGAACTCAGAGCCCAGAACTGGAGCTGTAGAGTTCCTCCAGCAGGGCTCGGGGACCACACACACCTCACAGAGCGAACCAACACCAGAAGGCAGTTGAGAGTCCCGGCCGGGAGGCGCTGGATTCCAATCCAGTCTCTCCAGGGGTGCCAATAAACATGGGCAAGTTACCTAACGACTCTCTGCCTCCACATCCTCCTCAGTAAATGGGCATAACAGGAGCACTTGATCCCACGGACGGTTGGGAGGCACACAGGGTGCTGAGTAAAGTGAGTCACTTCTGCCACCACATCTGCTACCACCACCGCCTGTCAGGTCTTTGTAGCGGAGGCTGGACAAAGAGATCCAGTCGGAGCAGTGGCTCCCATGGGCCTACTGTCCGTAGCCCCCCTTGACCCAACTGCAGTCCTAAAGGCTCTGCCACAGAACTGGACTTTGCCCTGCCTCCGGGACACCCTTCCATTCTCCGGGCAGGGTAAGCGTGATTATCCCACCTGGGGCAAAGCTGGTCCCCTGAGCAGCACCTGCCCCCAAGTGGCTGGCCCCCACACAAGCCACCATGTCACTTCGCTGATGACAAGTTGGGCAGCAATGGTGGTGTTATCTAAATCTGCCATGGCGTGGGAGACATGCCGACAGCTTGTACTTGGCCTTCACGCCCAACACCTTAACCAACTCTCTTCACGGCCTGTCCTAAGGCACTGGGGCTAAGGACAGAGGCTGGCTGACACCCACGGAGCAGTCACCTTTGTGGCCGGTGCCATTACTTAGCATTCCACAAGGTGCTCACGTATGTTCCCACTGCCATGAGACCACTGACGCCCTCTTCCTAAATTTACGTGCATCCTGTCATCTTCCTTTGGGTCCCTGAGCAACAGCCAAGCCATCTGACACAGGCCAGAAGTCTGCAAACATACCAGTACCTGGAACGCGTCCACTCCATCCAAAGTGGCTGATCGAGCTCCCAGGCTGCCCCTGAGTGAGGCCGCAGTGTGGCTGAACTCCATTCTCTTCTAGCACCACGATATGGAGCCCACTGTCCAGGAACAAGGCCCGGGTCTTTCTTCTCCTGTTAGTGGTCACAGCAAACCTCCAAGGCCACAGCTGTAAGCCAAGGTATTAGTGTGACACAGGTGCACAGGTGCACAGGCCTGTTCATGTAGCTGACAGGACCTCTAGACCTGCTCGAGAGTGATCTCCAAAGAAACAGTTTCAGTGTAAGATCTGGTGCTACACCTGCCTGGCCCACTGGCTGGGTGAGTCTGATAAGACCCAGCTCCCCACAGACACCTCCAGCCATGCCTTCAGGCCAGAAACACATGCCTTTCAAGTGGGGAGTAGTTCCTTGCTGCAGAAGGTATGTTCTTGCTCTGGATCTCAAGGGGTCTATGCTGACTCTTGTATGTGGGGGTTACTACACCTCTAATGAGCACCGTTGTCCACCACGGATACTCCTCTACCCATCCGACTTGCTGAGTCATACCCTCTGATCAACAGAGCTGTTTGCTCTGCAGCTAGACCTGCTGCAAAGCTCAATTTTGTTCTGGGAATCTTTCAAAACTGAAAGCGTTTGAGTCACCTGATAAATGGGTTGAACTACACTCTGCTTCCAAACGCCAGAGAGTCTTACCCAGCAATATGCCTCCTTCTTATGAGTAGGGAAGGTGAATGCAATCACTTGCCATTTATCTGAAAGAGGATAAGACAGTGTGCTCCAAACAACTGGCACCTGAAACCTCATCGAGGTGGCTGGGCCACTGACTCTGCATGGAACCCATCTCCCACCGCAGGGCGTTAGTGTCTCCTTGTGGTAGTCCAGGATTCATTTTCTTTTTTAAGTTTATTTATTTATTTTCAGAGAGAGAGAGAGAGAAGCCAAGTGGGGAGGGGCGGAGAGGGAGAAAAGAGAGAGAGAGAATCCCAAGCAGACTCTGCACCATCAGTGCAGAGCCTGATGCAGGACTCGAGCTCATGAACCATGAGATCATGCCCTGGGCCAAAGTCAGACGCTTAACCAACTGAGCCACCCAGGTGTGCCAATGGTATTCCAGGATTCTTAAAGGCACTGGTGTTTGTCCCTCTCACCAGGGTTCCCATACTGCTTTATTAAAGGGTGTGTCCTCTGAGCCTCTCCCAGGAACATAATTCTGGTGACAGGTTTTCTGCTCTCACATAATAAATATATCCCCACATCTCTTCCACCTTGAGCCTTCCTTCTGATCCCTTCTCGATACCATGCCAAGGCATTTGGGGATCTCTAGCTCATTTCTGTAGTGCATTATGTGTCTCAGCCTCAAGGGTGCACTCCAGCAGCACCATGGGACCTGCCCTCACGTCCCTGGAAGGATGCTGAATCACAAGCAAGAAAGCTCTCATGACCATAATTCTCTCTTAGCTGAAACTTATCCCAAATCACTGCTGCTGCAGTGTGAATCTCTGGGACACATCTACACACCCAGGGCTCTCACACCCCAGTTACTCAATCCCCCTAGAACATGGTCCCCTCAGTCTAGAACATGGTCCAGTTCTAGAACTCCATCCCCCTGTCTTTTCCTGAAAGCAGAGCCAGAGACATACCCCAGTACAGGTACTCTTTGGAGCCACGTGATCTCAGAAACAGAAGTGGGGGCTGAGCAGAACAAAACAGGGAAAGAAAACTAACACACAGGTATGTTTTTCAGCTGTTCACCATTGTGGACATGAGCTCGATTCTGCTGGGCCCCCCTGAGGAATGATGTCTAAAGTGCCTCAGTGTATAAAGAACTGTTCAGAAAAGAGGAAGGTTTGTCCATCAGAGCTCCTTTGTCACTGGTGACCCAATAGGCGTAAACCCCTTATCCTGTTGGGCCTGCACCCGAGCCCAGGTGTGAACCCCTCGCACTGCCAGCTTTACACCTGAGCCCCACACTTCAGCCTCAGAGAAGCTCTGGAACACAAAGAGGAGGTCGCGAAACCATGGGAAATTTCGTGAGGTCACATCGTGCGAAGTGGTTCCCATCAATATGAATGGAGTAGAAGATAAACAGAGAGGATGTGAGACACAAGCCGTGTCTGATCTAGAAGTATAGAGGCTTAGAAATAAGAAAGCCACAAAGAAAAAAAGTGAGTAATCGATTCTCAGTACCCGTTCTGGCACTCCAGTTCTCATAGCGGAAGGCATCTATTTGCGGACCTGGACGCAGCAGCAGACGACCCTCACGTGCCATGAATACCTGAGTCATGTGACAGGCCCTCCTTGCTCTCAGTTCCATGCTCACCACGCTCACTGTCCGAATATAATCTGGCCTCCACATGACTCAGCTTCAGCAGGAGAATGCGCTAGAGAGAATGTGATTTTCTTGTCCTTACGGCAATTACAGTCTTCATTATAAATTAATTAGGGCAATAGGATTTGATACATCAGGCTCTTGTGTACTATGAGACTGAGTCAGCAGTCCCAGGGCCAATAACCACACATAAGATTGACTTTGGAGACTGAAATGCTTTTGCTGTGAGCAGGGAGAGAAAAATTTTCAGGGGTCCAAGTTACCTTGGTTCAAGTGAGCCTGGAGGAGAGGGGCCAGTACAATTATTAGTCAGCATTATTTGACTTTACGTGTATCAACAGACTGTCAAATCTTAGGAAAACCTCAAATTATAACATCCATATATAGCGACTCAGTTTGTCATTAGCTAAAAGGCTCCTTTTGCACTCTGGAGGTAAGGTCAAAGAGGGGGTAATTTACAGTATAAAATTGAATCGCTGGGTTCTACTCCTGAAGCCAAGAATACACTGGATGTTAACTAACTTGAATTTAAATTTTTAAAAAAGGAAGAAGATTGGGAGTTTAAAAAAAAAGACTCGAGGTAAGAAGTCTCTGTGTGTGTGTGTGTGGGTGTGTGTGTGTGTGTGTGTGTGTGAGAGAGAGAGAGAGAGAGAGAGAGAGAGAGAGAGAGAGAAAGAGAGAGAGAGACACTTAACGTAAGCTCCACTCTCTTGACAAATTCAGTGCACTCTCCAGCCCTGTTAACCCTGGGTGGTATCGTACAACGGACCTGTAGAGCTCATTCACCTTGTGTGACGGAAACTCTGTACCCACTGGATGGCAGTTCCCTCGTCTCCTGTCCCCTCGCCCCTGGTAACCACCAGCCTCCCCTCTGGTTCTGGGAGTTCGACTATTTTAGACACCTCACGTAAGTGGAACTGGGCAGTACCTGTCCTTCTGCGACTGGCTTACATCACTCGGCATAATGTCCTCAAGATTCAGCCACGTTGTTGCAGATGGCAGGATTCCCTTGTTTAATGCTGAGTAATATCCCATTGTATGCATGTACCACATTCTCTCTATCTACTCCTCTGTCCACGGATATTCAGGCTGTTTCCACGTCTTAGCGATAGCGAACATTGCTGCAATGGACAGGGGAGCGCTAATATCTCTTTGAGATCTTGATTTCAATTCTTTTTAATACCTGCATGTGGGACTCTGAACAGTAGGGCAGTGCTAGCATAATTTTTTGAGAACCTCCACATTGTTTTCCTTAGTGACTTCACTATTTTTCAACACTAGCTTACACTGCTTAAAACCCAACAGTGTACAAGGGTTTAAACGTTACATTCTAACACTTGTTATCTTTTGTTGTTTTTTAAGGTAGCCGTCCTCATTTGTGTGAGACCATCTCTCGTTGTGATGTTGATTTGCATTTCCTCACAATTCTGATGATTCCTGCCGATATGGGACCATCCTTTCATGCACGTGCCGGCCACTTGTGTGTCTTCTTTGAAGAAATGTCTATTCAAGTACCTTGCCCATTTTTAAATCAGGTTATTTGGGGGTTCTTTCTACTATTGAATTGTTGGATATTCACCTATTATCAGATACATACGGCTTGTAAAAAAAAAAAAAAATCTCCCTTTCTATTGATCGCTTTTTACTCTGCTCTTCCCTTTTCCAAGTAGCAACTTTTTAGTTTGATGTAGCCCCACTGGCCTATTTAAACCTAGTTTTGCTTTTGTTGCCTGTGGTTTTGGTGATAGATTCAAGAACCTTAATCATTGCCTAGACCAATGTCGTGAAGGTTTGCCCCTATGTTTACCTTAGGAGTTTTATCGATTCAGGTCTTACATTTAAATATTTAATCCATAGTGAGTTGAGTTTTGTGAACAGTGTACGAAAAGGGGGAGAAGAATTTCATTCTTTTGCATAGGGACATCCAGTTTTCCCAATACCATTTGTCAAAGACTGATGAGAATTCTTGACGGCTAATTAGCTGGCCTCTCCCGGTCTTCAAGAGAGTCTTTTAATTAGTGTTTTTACCACCTGAGAATATGCAAAAAAAAAAAAAAAAAAAAAAGCCAGCAAGTGCTCAGAACTTACTATATGCAAAACACTACACATAAAAGAAGGGAAACTCAAGAGCAAAGGGGAAGAAAAACAAAACACAAACCACACCCTATTAAGTGGAAAAGTGAGCATAAGCAGCATAATATTGGGGTGTCGGACGTTCCATTTTTATGTTCAGAGTCCCAGGCCCACAGTGCCTCTGCCTTCAGAGTATGATTTGCAATTCATATAAAAGCCATGGTAGCTTCAGACCCCACCCACCACCCTCCCTTGTTTTCAAGTTTCCTCCTGTTTCCACTACAAAAGAGTAGCCACCTTGGGCGTTGGGGGGAATCTTACTTCCCAAGTCCTGATAAGAGGATTGAGGTTCTTTGGTAAATACAGATGTTCTGTCACTATTCCAGAAAAGGTTCCATTTGCCGGGAAAATAACCATGCCCCTTTGCCACCTACAAGCATCCTACACTTCTGAGTGTTTTGGCATAAAGGGCTATTTAAGCAAGCACTTCTATTGCTTTTAGAATGCGAAGCAATAAACAACAGCTGTGATTATTTAAATGCTGAAGCGGGCTGAATCCATTTAATTCATCACAAAAGACATTCACTGCAAATGAGCTGCAGAGGCAAAGAGATGCCTGTTATTATACCAAATCGGGCAACCTGAGAACGTTGCTCTTAACTTCGATAGTGGTTTCAAAACACAAATGCACCCGCCCTTCTCGTTTGCTCTAATAATTTAGTGTACATATTTCAGGAATATATTTAATGCAGTCACCAACGTCAA